GCTCAATTCTAACCCATAGTTAATTTAATACAACGATTAACAACCCTTTTGGCGCCGCTTTTATATTAATACCATAGAGTTTCTTAGAGTGGAAACTATTTTGACAAATAGGTCCACTTTGTTACCACAATACTCAACCATTTCTTAAGATATCATGGATTTGATTATAGCATCTGATAGCTTGTTTATCACAGATTACAATGATATCTCATTATTGATAACTATTACTATTTAAATATATTTGGGAGAAAAATTATGTGCATTTTTTGAATTAAATTATGTGTTATTTCATTGGTAATAGTTATTACAAAATTGTGTAATTTAGCTAGGTTAAGATAGGTAATTATAAATTTTAAATCAAGATTTTGCACAATTCATCGTACGATTTAAGGAAAATACTATTTGTACTAGGTAATACATGTATAGTACTGTATAGTATATGACAAATAAAGAATTCTTTTAAAATTTAATTTTTAATAATATCTTAACTAACAAAAGAATATTCATTTAATATTCATAACACAATAATATTGCAAACAATGGTTGATAATTACCGCAAACATATAAAGATTTATGGATTTAAATGAGTATTTAATTTATCAGAACTTGTATACAAAATCTATAATTTTATAAATTAATTTCATAAAAGAAATATTATTTCAATTAATATAAATAAAAAGATTTTTATTTTAATGACTGTTTTATTTGGATTTTTATTTTAATGACTGTTTTATTTGGATTTTTAATTTAATAAATATTATACACAGTATTATAAACTTTAGTCTAAATTCGGTAATAGTGGTTGGGGTGGAAGTAAATTCAAGGTGGGACAGCCTACTCCATACAACAAACATAATGGTTGAATGCATGTCTGCGGTCTAACAATCTGTAGGCCAATGATAGCCCGCTTAGGGTCACAGGTGAGGGGTATATACAGAACATATCGGTCCCGGAGGTGAGCCTCTCGACGAAGTGCTCGTTCTCTGCGCCGGATGTGAACCATAAGAGTCGTCCCAACTTAGGCTCAATCGCGTGGTTCGACATCTCGTCGGCGAATATAGCAAAGCAGTGAACTGATTGTACTTATAAGAGCCCCGTTTGTCGACATGTCGTTTCCAATACAAGTCGTATATGACTTGGGCTCTCTTTGTCGTGTATCTCGAGAAGTGCGTCGGTTTCCTTAAGTACAGGTGCGACGAAGGGATGCCGGAATGGGTTGCAATCGTTTTGCGGATTCTGTTCGTCACTGTTCTGAAGACTTTTAATTCATTTTCGGTGAACAGCTCTTTGAGGTCCTCTTCCTTCCGTTGTGTCCTTTCAATGAGTTTATAGATATTCACGAAATTTGTTGCCATCGAGAGTTGGCCGGAATGCATGTGAAGGACAGAGTGGCCGCCTGAAGAGCCGCCCAATGATAGGCCTTTCTTTGCGATTGACAAGTGTTTGGCTTCCGATTCAGTGATCACCGAATCGGACACAAAACGACCGCATCTTTGAGTGACACAAGACGGGAACCGAACTCTGTCTTCGTTATAGTCTTGAGAACACATGACTTCCCGTCCGATCGGTAAACCCGTTATGGATTGAGTGGCCAAAGCCATCACTACTTCGTTGGTGTCATTGGATTGAGTCGTATAGTAAACCATCGCAAGAATAGCCATCGAGAGCGCCATTCCGCTCATCACTCTCTTCATAATACTGTGATTTTGTTGTCTTTCGGGCGACACTTCTTGTGACACCACTCGAGACACGTTTTCCGCATTTGTGTCGATATTTCTATTGACAACTCTTTTGCGTCGATTGAGTCCATCCGAAGACATTGTGATCAATGAATAGATAATTCAATCAAATATCACTGAAAACACAGAAAACAGTCACAGGTGTCCGATTTACAGTTCACAAATATTGTTACATTATATGGTCATCTATAGATTAAAAAGTCTATGTAATTACAAATCAGATAAGGAAATTTAAAATTTAAAAAGAATGGGAAAAATATTCACCGAAACTTAAATATTGCCGGAAAGAGGATTGATTATGAGTATAGATAACAGGTTTAGAAAGTCGTACTTAGGTAGCATATATTGTATTATAATGAATCATCTATACACATATTCAATCTTCTTTCCGGCAATATTTAAGTTTTTGGGAATATTTCTTCCCATTCTTTTTAAATTTCCTTTACTAAAATATGATTTATTACAGGTTAAATGATAAAAGTTAACCCATAAACGGCCACATAAAATGTAACAATATTTGTGAAAAGTAAATTGGCACATCTGGCTCAGGAGTCCCGAGTCAGGACTGAAACAGATACGAGTGTTTTGAAATAAAAAACTTTTTAACCTTTTATTTGAGATCCATTAGGACGTTAATAGTCTGAATTGTAAACAAGCTAAATGTTGTATAAATAATTAATAATAAACATTATTATGTGGAATATTCTATTGTATACTTCTTAAATTAAAAAGCACGTCCTAATAATAAAATATAATCAAGTTAATTAGTATTTTAAATAAATGAGTTCAAATTTATTTTCAAATAGTATTATTATGTGTTACAAAAAACTTTTATAAAATTTGTACGAGGTGACACTTTTATAACACTTTGTGACCATTAAATAATAATTGCAATTAGAAATCAATGACTGAATGAGCAACCAATTGACAAAACTATTAATTATAAACTGTGGGTAATGCGATAATTAATAGCTTTGTGTAAATGTAAGCTTGGTGACATAATGTTTATAACAAGTACAGTATTTGAATATTATCATTTAGAGATAAAATTTGCTCGCAGTCACGCTTCTAATTAGACAAGGTAATCAATAATAACAAACTTTTACGAACAAAATTTAAAATTCATATTTTAAAATCTTTTTTTCTGGATGAATTTTTAGCTATGAATTCATTTATTGGCAATAAAACATAAAATAGTCTGTTTTACAAATTTTGAGCAAAAAAGTAAATTTAAAATTTTCTTTTTTGGTCACTGCAAACAAGGTGAAACTGGTGTTTGTTTTGGTTAATTAGTGTTTACAACGCCATCTGTTGTGTGTATGGAAAGGTATGATTGGTATGCACTACACCTAAGTTACATTGAATAACATTGCATTTAATAGAGTACCTTATATGCGCGTAACATTATACACCTTTTCATTAACATATTAGTATTGTATTGAACATTTTTATGTATTATATTACAATGAATATCTATTTAATTCATAATTTTTGCAATTATATTTTATTAAAAATTTTAAGAACTTTTAAAATGTTTATGGGCAAACAGTTAAACTTATAAAAAGCTTATGTAATATAATATAATCATTATGTTATAGAGCATTTATCTATACCTAGGCAATTGTGTCATAACTATCTTATATGTCTTATTAGACTCGTGATTAACAGTGGATGTCATATATAGTATAAATAAAAACACCACTAAAAACACCAATAACACATAACCAATCATGAATCGCATAAATAATTCGTAATTCATAAATATGACCTGGTATATATCAATAGTTATCAATAAGCCTAATTGAGTCCAAATAATCAACAAAAATTTGGACCAATAGGTGGTGTTATAGCCATAAATCTCAAGATATATTGCATTCAATGCATGCATTGTTCGCATAATATATCTCACATTGAATTTGTGGTCACTTTTCAAACTTTTAACCATTTGTTCATTAATTACACGGATTTTGTGTTTCAAATAATAACACAATAAATAATAGTAAACCAAAACCCATAGACTAATGTTAAATGAATAATAACAATACAGCGCCATATGAATAGCATTGGGTACGCCATAGCATAGGATTTCCCATAGTGGACAGTTGTGTATAATGTATGGGAACACACCTACTATTAGCCAAAGTATGATTGATTTTTGGATTATAAATTCATTAATTTTAAACAAAGGTTTAGCTTGTTTTGATAAATTATTTATAGTTTCATGATCATAGAGTCCAATAGAACCAGGTGATAATGAGCCTGATAACATTTTGAACAACGCCATAAATGTGGGCTTAACCCCATGGCTATAATTGTACATAAACATCCATTGCGTTAGCATCCAGGTGCTCGCATTAATAATCAAGGCAAGATTTAAATGTGGCTTAATTGACAGCATGTACGGTATGTCACCGAATATAATGAATATGATCCTGTTACTTTGTGGTATATTTAAACAAATTATACATTTCATGATATATAGACAAAAACACAATTGAATCATATATGGATTATGAATAAGCTTGGTATTAAGTTTGGTCGTAGTTAATAATCCGATTTCATAAAACTTTGTACTAGCTGTTTGTGTTACTAATGTAGATGGTAATATTTTATTAAAATCCATCATGACTATAATTATTATTTTGAAAAATTATTTAAATAGAAATATTGCTTTCAAAAAAATGTTCTCACTTTAACACAATATAAAGTGAAACTTTGTTATAATTATTATCTATTGTATAAAACTAGGTCAATATATAATAGTGAATTACTTTCTAAGTACAATTAATTAATATAGTTAATTAATTACAAATATAATTATATTATTAACATATATTACAATATGTTTTCATTACAATTTAGTAAATATGAACTTACTATTTAAGTGCAATTAATGCACTTGTTTAGTTCACGTATAATGCAAGTAGACCAAGTAATTTTTATTGATTAGTAATAAACATAAAAATATTCAATACATATTTTGTATAACATAATTTTGTAAATATTTTTATTTATAGATTAATTCTTAGTTTTTAAAACTTGCTAAAATGGTACAATATATTATAATGTCATTAGGTTTAAAAAATTTATTTATAGAAAAATAAGTATTTTCTTATCAAACTATAAAATATTATATTTTTGATAATAGTCTTTGTTTTATCTAGTAAGTAAAATATTAATGTTTATAGCTGTTAATAATAATATTTATATATTACATTAATACTCGTAAATATTAAAGTAACTACCTTTAATATTTTAATATAACTTATAATAACAAAAGTATTTTTATTTAATTATAATATTTATTTTATTAAATTATTGGTTACGACATTGATTAATAAATTGCATAACAGATATAGATATCAGCCATTAGATAGGTCATAATAAAAATGATGTTGAATATTTGCGCACCGTGCCCCTCGTGCCCACAGTCTACACTGGTCATATAATTTTCTTTTATTCTAAAATAAATTAAGCTTTTTTAATTAATAAAATTGAAATAATAAATAAAGAAAAATATTTTACACCACAATGATAAATGGTATTACCAGAAAATGTGTTATTTTGCATAGAGAACCCGGTAGGCCTGGGTATGTTTATGCAATAAAAAGCAATAAATATAATAATATTCTTAGCAAACTAATATTTATGCAATTGTTTTGCAAATTATTTTTTATAAACCTTGATTTAGTGATAAAAATGTATAATAATAATATAAAAATATGATAAACAATAATTAACTAAATATATTGCACATAAAATCAATGACTATTTTGAGTACATTAGCATAAAAAATATTTACTAATGTGAAACTTATTTGTTACAGTTTTTTGCATAAGTAAGATTAAGTACACTTAATATAGAGATTGTTATGAAATTATAATAGGGCAATTAAATTTATACTAATAATATAACCAATTATGATAATTAATATAATTGCTACAGTAAATTATTATTTAATTGTTTTGCACGAATAGTTGTTATTACTTAATAAACATCAGGACAATTTTTATTTTGCGTAAAAGTACTCTAATTCATAGCAAGTGTAATAATTAAAATTGTATACTTTTTAAAATAATAATATAAAAACTATACATCTACTAATATGTACTAAAATGTATTTTCATTTTGAAAAGTAATCCTCATTGTATTTTTATTTTTATAAATATGCATTAAAATGATGCTATTAACTTTTTAATGTAAATGCACCGGTAGGTATAAAAGTAAAACAATTAAAATCAACCAGTTCATATGAGTACGATAAGTTTTCAGTTATTAAAGTTTTGCCATTTCAATATGACTTATGCGTTGCTAATTATATTAATTATTAATACCAACATACATTTAATAATTGCAAAAAATGATTGTATAACTTTTAGTGAAAATGATTACAAGTTTAATTACACATCACAAGTGAAAAATGTGACAGTTACAATTCAACCAGCGTTTACAATGCCTTACGTAATACTTGACCAAGTTAATATATCCAATATAATCTACACAAAAATATGTGGCCCATTATTATCGCTGGTACTTGAGCTTGCTAGACGCGAAAAATTTTGGTAAGTTATAAGTATGATTTAAATTAAAAATATAGCAAGAATATTTTATTTAGCATTTATTGCGAAATATTTAAAGATAAATGTAGTAAAATATATTTAATTTTTTCTATACAGGGTACATTTTATTCGACCAGCGACAAATGCCATGGATGGGTTAGAAATGTTATCAACTGACCCACCAGATATATTACTTTTAGCCATGGACTTCATTAGTCATAAAGTGTATTTAACTGATAGTGGTTTAGAATACACACATACTACCCTGATTGATTTCGAAGTAAATAGCCACATTGCTTATAGAATTTACCCTGGTAGGAAGGATATGTTTGAATATTTTAAAAATATGGATAAATATATAACGTTGTGCATAATATTATGTTCAATAGTTGTTACATTAGGGCTAACATTAATTGAAGCAAGAAAATTTAATTCAATCATAGACATACTCAAGATTTATATGAAAATACTATTTGATATTGTGACGGCATTATTTTCACCAAACTCACCCTCGTTAAATCA